ATGTCATTATGCAATATTACTTGCCTTTGTCCTTCTGACACTATTTTGGCTGTTATTCATCTTCTGCTCTGCTACACACAACTCAGCACTAGTGTCTGTAACCATAATGATGATTAAAAGTCATAGGAGTTTTATGAGCTACATCAAGGCTCAGTTTTTTTTTTTTTAATGTGCCAATTCTTCATGACTAAATTGGGTACTCTGGGTTTCCTAAATTGGCCAGATTGTATGAAATAGCCCATTAGGTCTAAGAAATTATTCCACATCTAAAGTTCTTGTATGCATTCATTCATTTAACAAAATTGATATTACCCATAGAATAAGGATAACCAGGTGCCATTCTAGGTGTTAGGCGTATATTGGTGAACACAACGTCATTTTCCATTATGGAGCTTGTGTCCCAGTGGGGAAAGTAGATGATAAACACTGTACGTAAATTAGAAATCTTTCATGTTTTTAATGTTAATGTTTGGTATGCTGAAAAATTAAAGGTGGGAATGGGGTAAATGGAGCTCAATGGAGCCACATTTTAGAAAGAAGTAGGACCAAGTGGACAAATCCACTTGGTTCTCCTTGCCTTGTTTTTTTTTTGGATATTTTTGAAGGCAATAATTTTTTCCCCCCCAAAATGTCTAAGAGTGTCAGGATTAAAAAAAAAATTTATGGGAGAGACATTAACTACAGCTCTTAAAATAGCTCTTTGTTTCTGAAAACCTTTTTCTGCCATCTATCTTATAAGTGGAAAAAAAAAGCCCTCCAGAACTTACTTGTATAGCCCTTGCCAGTAAGGAGAATGTGCTCTGATGTGACCTCAAACACAGGTTGATTGATTTAAAAAGTATATAGGGTAAGTTTTCTATTTTCCTTAGTGGCTTTTGTCAATAAGAGATCTCAGTATATGACTTCTTTATCGTTGTTGAACATAGTGCGTATGTGGGGAGGTGAGATGATGATTTCATAATAATGTATCAGAAAATATTAATATAGGCACTCATTAACATATTTTTCAGACAGAACAATCTCCAGTTTTTAAAAGCCTCTTCATTTAGCTCAAACATCAAGTAACTTCTTTGTGGCCTGTATTATGCTAGATACTCTCTTCGCAAGAGGCATTTTCTAGTGATTTAGTTATGTATTCAGTAAATATTGTGCATCTAGTGTGTGCCTGGCACTATGCTATATTCTTGGGTGCCATGTGTACCTCAACATTGAGTCAAATCCAATAAATACCTTTGTTAAAGCAAAAAAAATTTGTTTTATGAGGATTAAAAAGAGGGACATTTTCTATAAGGTACAAGAAAGAGAACTACCCCACATACCCCTTCTCCCCTGTTAGATGTGGTCACGTTCCTGGTAGTCATTAGACTTGACCAAGTTATACATCCTTTTAAATTGTGGCATCCAGGTGTTGAACTAGTTCTCTGCTCTCTCTGGTGATCCTTTAGATACATATTAAACTTTCTCCTGACTTCTCATGTCTTCTGTCTCTTTGTCTCTGTGTGTTGCATTCTCTATATGAGCACCTGTCCAACTGTAGTGGGCTCATGAATCACATGGTTCTTGTTAGAATCCAGGTTCTGTTTTAGTGGGCATGAGACAGGCCTGAGATTCTGCATTTCTAACCAACTCCCTGGGGATGCCAATGCTGCCAGTCTACAGATCACACTTATGTAGGAGTAGGAGCCACCTTCCATGAGAGGCATGGTTCTGTGTGATTTCTTCAAATCTAATGGCTACTTCACTAATTTTCTCTTCAGCTGTGTCTAATCTTCTGTTTAATGCATCCATTGAGTTTTTGACTTTAAATTTGACTTTAAAGGTAACAGTACCTTTCATTTTTTGAAGTTCAGTTTGGTTCTTTTTGAAGGTGCTTGATCCTTTTTAAGAGGATCTTGTTCTTCTATTAGAATTTCTACTCATTTACCTTGACGGCAAATTAGAATTTACTTTGTGGTCCATTTTAGATTGTTCTTCTGTCTGCAATTTTTAGAGGGCTAGTTTCCCATTTCTTGTATATATTAATGGTCCTTCATGGGAGTTTGGGTGTTTCCTTTTCTATTATGTGTTGGTTTTTACTTTTTTATTGTGAATTCATTTCCAGTAGGGATTGTATGTGTATTTGTGTTTGTGTGTGTGAGAAAGAGAGAGGCTTGTGTGCAATGGGTTGTGAAAGTTGTTTTCCACTTGTCTCTGCCAGTGCCTTAATGACCCAGTAATCCTGGACTGGTATTGATGTTAATTTCTTGCCTTGTAATTCCCACACCATGCAGGATACTGTAAATTCAGACACCCAACCTGGGATTACAGTTTAATTGCCACCCTATTCCTTTCCCCATAAAAGGCCCTGGTGGAAGGGTAAACATCCTTGTCACTTTCTTGTAGGTAAAGAATTTCCAGTTCCCCCATTTTTTGACTTGAGGCTATGGCTCTTTTCTCTGCCTGAATGTGGACTTTAGAAGCCCTTCTTCTCTGAGTTTCTTATAGTACTCAACTGACTACCTGTGTACAGGTTTACATCCCTAGCTTTTAATCTGTCTTGTGAATATCTTACCTGTTACTGGCTCATATACTTTTGTTGACTTCCAGTATATTTCATGGCGACTTCTTCCTTTTATTGAAGATTATCTGGCCCTTTTTCTAATCTTGACCACATGGGGTAGCTTTGAGCATGACAGAGTTTTCAAGAGGAACCTTATAGTATGGAATTTCTAAATCATAATTACTTCATGGAGGGTGGCTCCTACTCCTATATTAATCATACTCCTCACTCAGAAATGGAATTCTATTTTAGTCTCACAAAGATAAATTAGTATATAGTGGAGAGGGAATTAAACTTCTGCTAGGAATGAAATGATATGATTAACACAAACATCCACACGAGTGTGTGTGTGTGCACCCTGTGCAGGAAAGAAATATTTAATATAAATTTTGCTGTATCTCCCTAGACTTCAGCAACTGTGAGCTTTGTCATAAACATGTCTCATGTGAACAATAATAATAGCAGGTAATCTTTATGGAGTGTTTACTGTATGCTGAGAACTATGCTTAGCACTTCATATAAGATTTTTTAAAATTTAAACCTCCCAGTAGCCCTTTGTAGAACTGATCTCTCTGTGTTGAATCTGAGGCTCAGAGAGCTGAGTGACTTTTCCCAAGGTCACAGAGCTAGTAAGCAGTGCAACTGGGATTTGAAACCACTCAGTCAGATTCCAAAGTATGTGCCACTAACTATGATGCTTCTGTATTAGTATCTGCTATTCACCTGTCTCCATACATTTCCTCAGTCTTTATCTGAGTTTCCTTATTTTGGGTTGGAAAACTCTTTTTGATCTTTATGAAAACTAATTTTTTTCCTTTATTTTTTTTCCTTAAAAAAAGGTATTATATAATTGAAATCAGATTGGACTTGAGGCTATGTTGATGGAAGTACACATGGAATGTGGGCTAAAGCATTCAATGTAATTTTTCTTTCCATCAGCTAATTTTTAAAGTATTAAGTAAGTAGATTCTGCTACTAACAGGAAAGATTTAAATTCTCTTGAGAGCTTGGAGGTGTTAAATAATTTTCTGGTAGCGCGCATTTCACATTTTCAATCTCCCACCTCATCTCAGTGCACCTGAAGCTCTGAGAATGCTCTTTTGCACTTCCCGGAGTAGCCAGACCTCCTCCTTGTGGTTTCATCTCCAACCCCCTCCACATCCTTTCACCACTGCATTTACTTCCCAGCACTGTTTCGGCTGTTGTCATTGTGTCGTTGTTGAGGTTTGGAAACTGCCAGATTCTTTTGAGTCTGTAAGCAGAAAGCAGACTGCTGCTCATATCTTTGCTCAGACAACAAGGAGTTAAAAAAGAGGTCTGGACTGTGACCGGCTGTGACAGCTGTCCTAGGGGGCGCTCTAGCGTGCTCCGGCAGTGACTCATGCTGCTCTGTCACTCCGATCAGCATTGGCCCCTGCCACGCAGGCGGCCAGGTGGGGTTCCAGCCAGAGCACGCACTGAGTAGGGAGCATGAAGCCTGCACTGCAGGGGATGTGATGCCAGGCTCGCCAACTCGCCTATCCAGCCGGCCACAGATGCCTCAGTCCGCAGCCATGGTAACGCTTCTGGCCGGCTACGCCCCCGGGAGCCCACCGCAATGGGCAGCCTCCTGGTGACTGATGGACGAGCGTCCACTCTCTGACCGAGAAAGCTTAGTAGGTCTGCAGGAAGTGGAGAAGATGTAAGCTGCTTCTCGTCTTAACGAGGTAGGACGCAGATGTCCACGGGTGCATTCACACCAGCCGCTGGCAGGGGTGCTGTAAATCCTCAGAAAGAACTTTCTTTGGCTCATGTTTCATTATGCTGATTAAACTGCGGTGGATTCAGGGGTCATGACTGAGCTGGGGAGAAGGGATAATGAACTAAAAAAAAAGTGGTTAATAAGAGCTCTGAGTATCCTCATCGGATATGAATGAGTTAGACTGCAGTGCTATGGGAATATGAGTTACATACCTCCTAAATCCTCTTTCCTGCTCCTTCCTGTCATTCTGGTTAATCCACGACATGCAGAATTCCATCTTATTTCAGTGATTAGCACTCAATGTTAATAACGTAGACCTGCCCTGAGGAGGAAGTAAATAGGTTCAGGTCATCTGGCAGGCCGGCACCAGCCAGCTGATGCCCTGTAGAGGCATTCTGGAAATATCAGGAAGGGGTGGTGTGCTCAGATGAGTTCCCCAAGTGCTTTCGTTCCAAGTGACCTGTCTAGAGTTTATCCTTCAGTTTACCCCAGCCAGCGAGGCAGCCTGTCTGCGGATAGGTGGCCATGTTGGCGGAGAAGGGGTTAATCTCTTGTTGCTGTAAGAGCCGAGGCTGGGTCTGCCTGTGTGAGCTAGACTGAAAGCAGGCGCTGCAGTGCCATCGCGAACGCGGAGGGAGTAAGACGATTTTCTTCGCGACAGTGTTGAATCCGTCTGAATTTTTCTCTCCCGGACTTCTTGTTTTTTTTTTTTTTAACCAGCTCCTCCCCCCTTCGTTCCCACCCTCAAGTCTGATGATGACACCTCCAATTTTGATGAACCAGAGAAGAATTCGTGGGTTTCATCCTCTCCGTGCCAGCTGAACCTCTCAGGTTTCTCTGGGGAAGAACTGCCGTTTGTGGGGTTTTCGTACAGCAAGGCACTGGGGATTCTTGGTAGATCTGAGTAAGTGAAAATTTGACTTTTTAAGCACCTGCATTGATGAGAGGCATCTAGAGCCCAAAGGTGGTGGTGGTAGTGGTGGGGTGGGGGGAGTACTATGGGGAGAACTGCTAATCAGCCTGCATTTGGAAAGCAGTTTACCTGTTTGGACTTTGGTGGGTAGACTGTTAATATTCTCATTTTGCTGTGTTTAAAGTACCTCTTCCTGTCTGCAGCATCATTAATTGTCTATTAGGTACTTCGGGTTAGTTTTCCAGTCTTTGGTCTTCTTCAGAGGGGAGGAGATAGTGGGATTCTCCAGCTGTGCAGATCCTTGGTAGAAGGAGGAATGTGCAGGGTTAAGATGAGCAGTGTCCATCTGTTTCTCCATCTATGTATCCATCTCTCTCTCAGGTGGGTGGATGGAGGTAGCTATCTTGGCTGTATTGAAAGGATCTAAAAACCACATCTCATAAGCTAGGTTTCCTAACGGGTTTAACCAGAGCTCTAGCAGATAGATGGGGTTCGGTTCTGCTCGAAGTCTGCTGCAAGATCAGGGATCTGGCAGCTGAGCTGCTCTGATCTGGCAGAGTGCTGGTGGCCAGAGAAAGCCCCATTGCCCTGAGCCCTGGGAGGGAGTGTGATGTAGCCGAGTCATTGATCCACAGAAACTGGCTTTTCACAGGAGAAGAAAACAAACCAGGAGACTAGAAAATGGAAGTATAAATATTACTGTAAACCTCTTGACATGATAGGTCTTTCGCCATTCTTGAAAAAGCTCATGAAAAACATATTAGTATGGCACTTGGGACTGGAGGGTCCCAGCTTCCAGCCTCCTGGATTTTCCCTAAAATGTACTAGCCTGTGGGGATGTAGGAGCTCAGTGTCTTGCTTCATTCGCATGATCTGATGACATTCTGCATTCAGAGATGTGAGTTCCCCGGGAAGGTCTTGAACTGGGTTTCCCCCAGATGCCCCTGCTCCCTCACTTGGAGGCTCTGGGGGTACTGTTGGATAATTGGTTGCTACCCACTTAGTCGATGGGTAGAATTTGATTTTCTCCTTGGCAGCACTCATCCCTGACTTGTTGTGCTTATAGCTTAGATACTGATTTGAAGGGAGGTGTTGATCCTTGGATGGTGTCCTCCCATGGGGGCTATTTTGACAGTAATGTTCCTGAAAAGATTTCAGACTATCACGGGGAATCGGGTACTCGACATGAAATAGGGCTGTGGGCTGTGATAGAATTTTTAGTAAGATTTATATGTTAAAACATGCTGAGATGGACCTTCTTTCCTCCCTCCCTGGGGTTGAATTTTGGTCGTGGTGGCTGTGCCTTTCTGGCTAATTTTCTCTGCAACTCCAAAGCAACCTGGGTGATGGGAGGAAAGGCAGAAAGCTAACTAGCTGTTGAATGTGCTGTTGGATGGATGTGAAATCGCCCAGCAGGGCTGGGAGGTTTTGTCCTGGCATCGAAGAGCAGGGCAGAAGTGGAGGCCCGATGTCACAGATGCCTGGTCAGTGGGCAGCTTAACCTTGACAGACGTAGTGCACTGAAGGTCACAAAGCGGACTGGAAGGAGGTGTGAGGAGAGTTCTGGTTCTGACTAGCAGTGGGCTGGTTGGGTCAGAAAGAAAGCTGGGGCGCTGACCAGTGATCAGAAAAACCAGGGAGTGTTTGAGGGAATCAGATTTCAGGGGCAAAGGCAGGACGATGTGGGGGATCTTAGGCATTGCAATGAATCTGAAGCAGTGTGTGATTAATTGCTTATTTTTCAGGAAGACTGTAATTGCATCTTTCTGCTTCTCCCAGAAAGCACAGTTAAGGGAGCTCTCCGACAGGGGCATCTCAGTCTTAAGGCCTAGGCACTCAATACATATTTGTTGATTTAATTTGCTCATGATCTTTCCCTCAGATTGTGTTTATATTGTTCCCTGTATTTGAAGATATGCTAGTTCACCTTTGGTAGTTCAAAATATATCTCTAGAGCATGAAATGAGCTTCTGTTCATGCCGCAACAGAATGTTTAATAAGATTCCCATAGGAAAAAATGTCCATGCAAACAAAACTGTGTATTTCTTATCTGGAAGGTGGAATTGGAGTATTCATGTCTTTGGGGAACTTTAATGCCATTTCCATGGCAGCTTGGGGTTGGAATCAGAATGATTTTCTTTCATCTCATGTCTCTTAATGTGATCTTGCTGTCAGATTTGGCAAATCTGCCACAAGCAGCCCTGTGGGTGAAACCTACAGAATCATTTTAGAAATTCTCTCCACTTGTTGGATGTAGGTGACCCTGGATGTATTGCATTATTTATTTAGAAGTTTAATAAAAGACATGCAGTGATGAAATTACTTGGAATCCCCTGTAGTTTCATTGACATGTAGTTACAAAATCCACTCGAAGGTGGGTAGGGACCTTTTCCGGGGGTACCACCATTGCTGACAGGGACCTGGTGTTTCTTCCTGAGTTTCCCTTTCTCCCCTCCATTTTCAGCATCACAGGTTTTTATTTACACACGTTGATTACCTGTGCTGTTACTCACTTTTCACACCACTGAGGAAATTGCAGATGCGGCTGGAGGATGCTGGAGAAATTGACCTCAGATTTGTTACCAGTGAATTGAACGTTAAGGAGTGGAGCTGAATGAAATGAGGAATTTTCATGGAGACTCTGGCCTAGAGAATGATTTAATGGTTATAGTTGTTTGTCACTTTTTAGGATCCTTTTTTGGGACCCCAGACTATTCTTACGTCAGCCGTTGGGCATCATTGTCTTAGGTTTAATAATAATCTCGATCTCAGCCTTCTGTGTCTTAAGTTCCTCTCAGCTTGAGTTGGAGGGAGCAGAAGAGATTCTACAGAACAATTTTGGTTGACTTTCGGGTGGCTTGTGGCTAAGTAGGTGCTGGAGAATACCTGCCTGGTACCTCTTTTTCTCTTTCACCTACGATCACCCAAACCACACCCCCAAGCTCTGGATGCCTGGGTGTTCCACGGAGCCTCTGTTTGCTTGATTTCACACTAGTGGGGTAGCAGCAGAAATCAGTGTGTTAAAGGTTTAAAAATAAAATGGATCCCAGCCTGCCTTCCTCCCCTGTCAGCTTGGGGTCCGTTTCTTTAGGCCCCTTCTCCTTCCTCCTCCGTCTCTGGTACTGCCTCATTTAAGTTCTTGCTGCAACAGTCCATTTCTGCAAACCTCTAGCATAAACTCTAGAAGGAAAATGCCAGTTGGTTTTATGTTTTGTGTTAGTTTTACACATGTTGGCTTTATGCTTTTGGAGAACTTGGAAGTCTTAGAGGAGCAATGGGATCTTGATGAGATAGTAACTGTGGGATGACAAGCTGCTTTTAGGAAAGGGGCTCTCTTTTCCTTTTGGCTCAGGGCTTCTTCCTTTCCTTTTGGGTGAATCTGAACATTTCGTTTTGGAGCTAGCCACCCAGACATTGTGGAGGAATAAAAAAATGGCTGCCACCATTGCCTTCCCAGATTTTCAGAGAACCAATTTTTGGCTCCTGTTCCTTGTTCTATTGGGGCTCCTTTGCATGTCAGTTTCCTCAACTATGGAGTAGGATAATAGAGATACCTGTCTCTGAGGGCTGTTTGGGGGATGATATTAAATATATAAAGCCCATAGTCTTGTACCTGATGCCTGGAAAAGTCTCAGTAAATGTCCACTATTATTTTTGTTATTACTAATATGCTAGTTTATACATGCATAGTGTCCTTCTAGTTATGCCAAAAAGAAATGGAAAGACCTCAGCAATAATTAAGTGGTCCAGAGTCATGTCAGACAGAAACCCAGCCTCCAGGCCCTGGGAGTTTTCTGCTAGAGAAGCTTAAACATCCTGACCAACCACAAACTAATATGCAGTTGGCAAATACCTGCAGGTAAAAGGAAATTTGGGTGGAGTGGATCGGGACTTCCCATCAAGTTGGACAAGTGAAAGCATGTACGTATGAAACAATTCAGGGAACACAAAGCGAACACCTTTGCTGCAGAGTATCATGGTACAGATTGGATATCTGACTGCTTCAGGGAGGTAAAGCCAAATCCAGTGCAGGGGACACTCGTGGGTAATGCCCGGTCATAGTTCTTGCCGAGTTACAGTGATGAGCTGTGCTGGAATGTCTGTCCATTCCCCCAAGTTGGCATGATTGCAAGGACAGAGCTGGGTCTGATTTATCCTGATTTTCCAGGAGCACAGCACATGGCAGATCCTCAGTAAATACGTATGTTGGAACTAAGCTTATAAGCGCATTAGCTGAAGGTGAAATATTTGGCTCAGCTTTTAAAAAACAGTGGATTTGAATGAGTGAACAGGAATGTAGAGAGGATTTCAGGTGGGCAGAGTGATACCAACTGTCCTTACAGGGCTCCAACTCTGTACTAGACTCTGTTTTATGCACTTGGCACAGATGAACTCATTTAAACTGCACACTAGCCCACAAGGAAGGTACCATCATCATTCCCATTTTGCATGTGAGGAAACTGAGGCATGGAGCATTTAACAACTTGCTCAAAGTCATGATGCTCTGAGCTAGGCATTGAACCCAGGCAGTGCTGCCCCAGAGTCTCTTACCCACTGTGCTATGCTACCAAGAATAAATGCCACAGGCTGGAGAAATTAGGAAATTTGTGTGTGGTCCCCAGGTTCACATGCTTGTCAGAAGTGCTAGCCCCTTGCGGGCAATGACGAGCAGTGGGGTCTGGGCAGGGTGGAATGAGAGCTCACAGGCTGTCTAAATGCTGGTTTTTTTTCAATCTCTGCAGGTTTACTGAGTAGGTTGATTGTGTAGCTCTTGGGTTTTTCTCATTTCTTCCTCTTCCCATTTAGAGGCTTGCTTACGTGTGTGTGTGTGTGTGTGTGTGTACATAAGCACATGCATATACACTCTCCCTGAGGGCTCTTGGCTGATTGTAAGCTTGGCGAGGACAGGGAACTGCACTGACCTCACTTTCCCTGGTATTGTCAGGTTGCTCAATAAGCATTTGGTGAGTCGATCCAAATCATTTTTATGG